CCCCCCCCAAAGGGGTCATGACCCATAGATTGAGAACCAGTGATAACGCAAAGTTGGGAAAGAGCAGGCCTGAGAACAGAGACACTGGGCCGGAGGGGCAGGGAGGGTGCCTGACTGCACTGCTTTTGTTCTTGAGGTTGGGGGGTGGTGTGTGAGTAAATGCTGAAAGGACAAACCCACTTATCTTTAAGTAAAATGCTGTTCATCCCTGACAGCACCAAGCCGACTTTGTTTATGGAAGGGGGGAGGTTTGTGTGGCGCTAACGTAACGAGCCTGTCTCTTCAGGGCAGCACGTCAAGGCTGACGATCAAGATCCGAGGACTTGTTCCTGGGCTAAGTCGTTGGATGCCACATCCAGAGTTAGCCCTCAGGTACGGTGAAGGTTTGAAGCCGTCAGTGGAGCTTTAGAACTGTCACTCACTTTGCTACTGTCTGTGCTGTTGTTTTAACGGCACCTACTTTCCAACTGGTTGATCTGGGAGCAGAAGGCTTCTTTTGAGGGATTCTGGGATAGTGAGTCATGGGGCCTGTGAGGCTGGAGCAGCATGGCGCCCAAGGTGTCCGAGCAGCATGAGGGGAGGTGGGGCGCAGCCCACTCGGGCCCCACGGGCCTGTCGTCTCCGCTGTGCTCTGTCTCCTTTCTCGCTGAGTGGTACTCCTGCAGGAGTGACTCCTCCCAGCTCTTAGGTGTCTGGAGGGAGGTGGCCTTTCAGAAGCTGGGCTCCTCTTTGTCCCCAGTGTCCTTTGTTGGCTTGCCCTTGCTGTGGCTCACACAGGTACCGGCTCAGCCTCCTGTTCCTTCCCTCCCCTCAGGACCTACGAGGAGGCCAGCGAGTCGCCAAGAAAGAAGGCCCCTCAGAGCTCCCCCAGAAGGTGCCTCCAAGCAGGAGCCCCGGGGACAGCAGTACCAAGTACGGGCAGAACTCAAGCTTGGCCCCCAGGCCCTGTGCACTCAGCAGCCGCAGCCTCAGCCCCGAGAGTCCCAGGGGGGAAGGCTCCTTTTCGGTGCCCCTCCACCCCACCAAGAGGCCTGCATCCAATCCCCCACCTATCAGCAACCAGGCAACAAAAGGTAAGGGCTGCCTGGGGCACTGGCCACCACAGGTGTGGCCGGCTTGGGGATAGCAGGGCCCAGGCCACTTGGGGGATGACAAAGGACACCTGACTGGCCCTGAGGATGGGGTGACTTTCTGGAGGAGGAGGGGGGGACAGCGGGTCGTGGGGAATGCCAGGAGGTCAGCTCTGAGGGCTGGGGAGGTGGTGTGACTCAGACCCCAGGGGGGAGAGGCAGTGAGGGAGAAGGATGCTGAGAGCTGAAGTGAAGGCCGCTGCGGCTCAGGCCCCTGGTGGGACCTAGACGGCTAAGGATGGAGCGGGTCCACTGAGCCCACAGCTCTTCCTGAACCTGTAGGGCAGGGCGGCCCTGTTGATGCCTAGGAAGGACTTTTGATGTCCATTGGTGTCCATTGGTGTCTTGTAGGTAAACGTCCAAAAAAGGGAATGGCGACAGCCAAGCAGCGTCTCGGGAAGATCCTCAAGTTGAACAGAAATGGCCATGCCCGCTTCTTTGTGTGACGCAGACACGGCTGTGGGGGTGCCACTCCCTCTGAGCCAGCTCGGGGCAGGGGGCAGGAGCCAGGTGCTCGCCCGCCCTGCGCCCCTGTGCCCGCCCAAGGCCCAGGAGAGCACTGCCCACAGAACCACGTGGCCGGTGCTGCTGAGCCCTGGCCACACCCACTGAGCAATAACGTCCGGACCTGGTGGGAGGAGGAGGAGGAGCTTAAACGAGACCTTGAACTGCCAAGGGCTCGTGTCAGGGCTTGAATTTTGTTGTTATTGGTAGCGTCTTGATTTCTTTTCAGTGGTAGGGGAAAAATTATTGATAATTTATTTAACAGATTTTTTTTTAAAGTTAACAGCCTTTAAATTCTTTCTTCTTTTTTTAAACCTATTTATTTGGAAGATTTCTGGAGAAATGTCTCACTAATTTAGATTTAAGAATGTGAAGGTTTTTAAATTATTTTTGATAGTGTGTGTATTACCTGTGGAGAGTGCCATGGTGTAACAGGAACTAGTCTGGACTCTTAAATTTGCTATTCAGGTTAAAGTCTTAAACAGGGATTTGATGCATTAATTATTTTAAATTAAGATGTATATGAGAATCATTTTATTTTATATATTTCATGTGTTTTTTATAAGCTATTTGCTTGCTTTTGCTAACTTCCAAGGTGCATACTGTTATCCAGGTGGGTTCCCCCCTGCCCCTGCCCTTCCCCCTGACCCTCCCCCCCACCAGGACTCTTCTCGTTGCAGGGAAACGCTTTCTAGCCAGTGTGTAAGAACCCCATCAGAGACCCCACGCTCATTGCGCATGGCGTGGTGGCTCTTCCTTAAAGGAGAATCCAGCCTCTTGCATCTTCACTTTGCCGATGATACTTGGGTCCCAAAGAGAACAGCTTTAATATCTTCTCCCCACGTTTGGGGAAAGGAGTCTGAGTTTGGTTTTACTGTCGTGTGTGGTAGTTTTACCAAATGCGTTTGTCTGCGAGTCCCCCCGTCTTCCTGACAGTGTGGGTGCCGGGAGGCAGGCCCCACACCTGCTGCCTCGCTCTGTCCCTCTGACACTTGTGTGGGTGCACCCATCGGTGCACCCAGAGTGTTGCAAGAGTGGAATCAGACCTGCGGATGAGTGTGCCCCAGTGCAGGAGGGTCGTACGCTTGTCAAAGGGCCCTGGGGGAAGCACTCAGTGCTATCCGTAAGGGCAGGCGGAGATCTGGCAGTCTGCTCCTGCCCAGACTGAGAGCCTTGGGAGCCCTGTGGGCACATTCCAGCCTGCCCTGCAGGGTCCCGATGAGTCGGAATCAACTCGACAAGATTTGGATTTGGTTTTAAACTTTATTAAGTTGTATAAAAGGAAATGTGCTGGAGTACATGGTGTGTGTGTGTGTGTATGTGTGTATCTGTGTGCGTGTGTGGTATTTGGGTCTTAACCTTTTCAGGAATGACATAGGATGTGGGTTTAGAGTACAATGGGTGCTTTCTGCAGTGTCTTCCACCAGCCCTCACCAAGCTGCACCTACTTTGGTTGGCTGTCTGGTTGAGCTTTAAGGTTTCATCTATCTCCTCGATGCACAGTTTTTACTAAAAACCAGTTTTTTATTGTAATCCCTTCCTTCCTCTCCCCCCACCCAATGGCTGAGAAGTAAGTGGTTCCTGGGGACAGAGCCTGCAGACACAGCTGATCTTGGCTCGAGAGCATCTTAGCAACACCCACAGAGACCTGGCAGGAGGTGAATGCTATGTCTATGGAGAAGAGAAGGGCACATTCTAGATCTGTGCTCGGCAAGGGGGCTTCAGAAAGTTCCTGGAAAAATTCTCTTACCTTTTAATTCAAAGTTCCTGCAAACTCTTTGAGCCCCCCCTCATGTGTTACTATCCCCTGGAGAGGTAAGAAATGAAATGTGTTACATCATCTCTCTCAGTTACAGCTAAGGTGTTTTGTTTTCCAAAGAGAAATACTTCTTACTAGTTACCCTCTTGCCCCCGAGTGAGCTGGATCACTTGGAACCTTCTCTGTGTCTCTCGGTGGCCTGCAGAGAGGTGGGGCTCTGTCTGCCCCAGGCGACGACAGACAGGGGAGCGATCGGTCAGGCGTTGGATGGGCCATCTTCTCTCCACGTGTCCAGATGTCAACCACCTTCCCCACACACTCGGTCTCTGCAGACACTGTTTGAGTTTGTTTGTTGGATTGATTGCCTCTAAGAAACAACGGTTTCTCCAGATGCTTGTGATCTGGGTTCTCTCTCAGCCTTTTCTCAGCTCATCAGTATTCCTGCTCATCCAGCTTGCTTTCTTTTGGCCATGAAAACGAAAACGTAAACCAGCTACGATTTGCTTTTATGAATTGAAATTGTAGCCAGTGTGTACCCAGTATGGGAACTGTTGAGGGAAGGTGCTGTGGGCTCCTCTTTGGCCGTGTGGCTCTGGGAGCACGGCTGTGGAAAGGCCCAGACGTGGAGGTGACTGACTGCCGTGTCTTGACTTGGCAATGAGAGACAGCCTCTCCTCTCTTCCTCAGTCTCTGTGCCAGGGGCACAACCAGACAGACGCTGCAACAGGAAGATGCCAGCGTGGCAGATACGAAGGTGTCCAGCTGAGAATCATGATCAGCGCCCCCAGTAGCAGTAGATAGTCATTGTCCTGTACTCAGATGAGTGACTTGTGACCTCAGGGCCTTGCATAGTACTTCACAGGCCATCGTATTGAGAATGACGTAGACTACACAGAGCTGGCGCCCCGTGATAGGTCAGCATCCTGGACATCGGTTATGAACCCAGAGAGGAAGCAGGCTCGGCTTGGTCACCACTTCAGCATGGCACCCAGCACTCTTTAGTTCTCTGGCCCCCGACGAGGGGTGTCTCCCAGGGAGAAGTGTCTGTCTCACTTCTGAGAACTCTAGCAGGAGAGAGGTCCATTCACGCTTGGAAGACCACCACCCAAACCAGGGGACGTAGAGACACCACAGCCGAGGCCCTCTGTCTCATGATGAGAACCACTTACAACAGTGACTTCCTCTGGCGTCCTCCAGGGGCCTGCGTGTTCCTGCTCTGCCGTGCACTGTGGAATAGCCAGTTACTGTCCCCCATCCCTCAGAGTTCGTCCGTCAGTAGGCTGCAGGGTAATCAGGATCCGAACACAGGAAAGCAGGCTTGAGTCTCATAACCCTCCGAATTCCAGAGCATGACTGCCCGCCAGAGCCAGGAGGGAAGTGCACAGACCATTTACGAAGCCACCTTTCCCTCTTGCGTTGTCTATGGCAGTGTTTGGAGCAGGACTAGCGACTAGGAGTCTTTCCTGGGAGGTGTTTGGGCTGAGTGTCCGTCCGAGGTGGGTGCTGACCGGTGCCCCACATGGGGTGTGTGTGTGTGTGCCCAGGGTGCTCACCTGTGTCAAGTGCTGGGCTTGCTGTTGCCCACCCTGTGTTCAGCCATGGCTGGTGCTCTTGAGCCCCGGGTATCGGGCCATGGTTGATACCTGGAGTCCTGTTGCGGCACTCCGTTGTCTCCACACAGCAGTGGCCCCGGTGCTCCTGGGCTGTGAAGCCTGCTCTGCCCTATTTCTCTTCTCTTCCTGCTCCGCTGAATGAGCTTCTCACGCAGTCCCCGCTCCGCCGTCGCCGGTCAGCGAGGAGTCGGTCTCAGTGTGCGACTCGAAAGTAAGTTCCTTAGTCCGCACAGAGGAGGTGTGTCTGGCGGTGCCCTCCCGCCCACCTGCCTGCCTGACGATGATGGTGTCCTGTGGTCTCTCTGGGATCCCTGAGGTGTGTGTGTGTGTGTGTGGGGGGGGGGGTCGGTCTTGGGCATTCCCACGGGAGTTCAGTGTAAGCGGCTGTTATTCACACGCGTTATTTCCCAGGAAACCTCTGCCCCCACTAGCAGGCCTGCAGCCACTCTCAGCAGGGCTGGGGCAGAGCCCACCCTCCGAGAGCAAGCTCGAGGGGTGGGGAGGAATGAAAAGATGGCGCGTTTACTGGAGGTGGTTAGAAAGGTGGACGGTGCTCTGAGAAGGTGCTCTCTGGTCGGGACAGGCACTGCTGCCAATGTGGCTCATCTCAGCATGGCCTGCGGGGAGACCAGGGCCTCCATGGGAATCAGAGCCATTTCCACACGCCCATCCTTCTCCTTAATATTAAACCAATTGCAGCTAGAGCCCTGAATGAATGCCACCAGAAGACAGGAGCTGCCCAGTGGGGTGGGGGAGAGAGTGCTGGGTGCCCCCACCCTTGGGGCCACCAGGGCAGACAGGACGTGTGTTTTGCCGCTGAGGTTTTGACCCTGTCGCCTTACTCAAAGCCTTTCTCTGGCTACTCTTGGCTCTCCGTGACCCGTCCTCGCTCACAGCAGTGCGGCTGCAAGGAAACCAGTGTGCATTTCCAAAGCAGTTAGCATCTGTGGTTGTGGTTTTCATTTGTTTGTAGTTAAATTAAAAAAATCCTTAGCAGACAGAGGACATTAATATTAGGAATCCCTACTTCACCCCCCCTTCCCCCTCCCCACTAGCCCCCTGCCCTCAATGCCCCTCCTGGGGCCCTAAGACCCTCTTGATAAGGGCAGCATCCAGTGTTTCCAGTTAAAGCCCTGTGGTGCCCCGAGGGCCGGCCCAGTCTTTGACTATGCAAACCTGTGACTTCTCAGTCCTGAAGGGGCCCGGGCTGCCACCCACTGTCATTTGGTCCATTTCCCTTTCAAAACATCAGCTCTCCTCTCTTCACCCACCCCATGGTTTTTCACCAAAACAATGATCGTAGTGCTGCAATCGACAGTATTTTGCAGGATGAAATAAACCCGGACATCCTCCACGCCCTCCCTGGCGGCGTGGTTGGTGGAAACACTTCCCAAATGACAGTCAGGGACCTGAGGTGCAGCTTGCTCAGTGAACGCCAACGGTATTTTATCTTGCAAAAGAAACCCAACCAAACATAGGGCCTTACAGTTTACGGTTAGACTGAATCAAAAGCTATCACCTCAATGTTCCCCTCCCGGCTGCCTGGGGAAGCTGTTCGGTGTGAATGCACTGACCAGGGAGCACAGCTGTCTCCTGTGGAAAGACTTTTCTACTTTTAACAGAGATTAAGCCATAACAGTTTGATGCTGTGGAAAGAGGGTGAAAGGTTCCTTTTCAGAGACTAGAAAATGAGCTTTCACACTTGACTGTGACATGTCTAACGTTGCCAGTGCTTCAGCAGGTGTTTTTTAGGAGGGGCGGGTGGGCGGGAGGAGGGCGGGTAGTACTGGTCTTAGAGTTTACATCTGTGAACTTGGCAAGGGGACAGTTGTTGGCTAAGGTAGTTACTAGTTTTGTAGTAACCTTTTGCTGGCCCGACTGCTTGCCCCGATGGTTTTTATACCCGTGGTCCAGGGTGACAGTTAACCTTTGCTCATGCTGGAGTCTGTCTGTCCGTCCGTCCGTCTGTCTGTCTGGGCTGTCGGTGTGTGTCCTCCCAGCATGCACCGAGGGCAAGGGAGCACAGTGTGGCTGGGGAGGGAGATGCTGGCGCGTGAAGAGCAACTTTCTCTCTTTCCCCCCGGATTCTGAGCAGTATTTCCCGTCTTTTGCCTGCAGGCAGGGAGAGTGTACAGTATTTATTTTGTTTCTGTTTTACTCTAAACGTGTAAGTCTTTATGTAGCTTATTCACATCAGTTATATAGGGGTTGACAGGTGACCTGTTTAAAGTTGTACTTGCTATCCCCACTTTCCAGTTTCTGTATTTTAAAATATTGAAATTAAAATTGTACTCCTTTTGATTTCTTTTTTTTTAGCACTCAGCATTGTTTGTTTTGTTTTGCCCATTTTGTTTGAAAGTATAAATGTTGAAAGTTGTACAAAATGTGTCTTTGAAAGAAAAAAAATCTGAATTCTATATCCAACTCTTCCTTTCTGTGTACTGATTCCTGGAGTTCTCGGAGGGTGGGCAGCCAAGCCAAGCCTTGGCTGGCAAGGAGGGTCAGGATGGTGGCATCGAGGCCGAGCTGCCAGGTGGCTGCTTGGCAGGAACGCTGGGCTCTCGGGGGTCGGCTTGTGCCCGGTGCCCGGTGCCTTCCCTAAGGGGAAACCTGACCCAGACGCAGGAAGCAGTGCTTCCTGGTGTGAAAGAGAGAGGGGAGGTCAGTGTGTGGTATGTGGCCATGGGACAGACACTGGGCACGGGCCCTAGGAGGACCTTCGTCCTGTGGGGAGGAGGAAGCAGGGGGCCTGATGAATGTGTGTGTGTGTGGGGGGGGGCGGGGCGTGGCAGGAGGAGACACGGAGTCCTGGGTAGGTGAGGAGAAAGGGCCCCTGTGAGTCAGGTTGAGGACTGGGAGCCCCGGGCATCTGAGGAGAGAGGGAGGAGGCCCCCCCTAGGTGTGTGTGTGTGGGGGGGGCATGGAGATGGAGCTAGGGAGCCCTGTGTGTGGAGGGGCTGATTGATAGAGCTGCACCTGAGACCAAAGGTGCAGTCTACGACCCTGAGGGCTGGGAGGGGCTGGGCTGTAGCACAAGTGGAAAAGACCCTGCCTTGGAACTCGGAGCTGGGGGCAGAGGCATGGCCAGGAAGGCCACTGGAAGTGAGTGGCGTCCACTCTGAAGAAAGACCACTTCTGGGGACCATGGGGACAGAAGAGTCAAAGGCCTCAGCTCTCCCTGCCCCTCTCTGTGGCCATCAAGTGGCTCCTCTGGGTGGTGCACACAGTTAAGCGCTGAGCTGCAACCCAAAAGGTAGGGCAGGTCAAACCCACTGAGAGGTACCATGTGATCTCCCATCATGTCACGGCCACGAGACCCACTGTCATCGCCGTGACAGAGATGCACCAGAGCCCACCACTGAAACACGTGCCTCATTCGGACTGACTGTAGCCTGCAGCTGAGCAGAGTGGCCGTTGTTCTGTGGAAACCCACGTGGTCGCCATACACCTGGGAGTGTCATGCATCAGGGATGATCGGGGTCCTGCTGGGTTGCTTCCTTATTAGTCACTAGCCCACCTGGTGTCTCCCCTCCCTTACTCCGGGGCAAGACCACAGTGGATGTAAAACACACACACACACACAC